TCATCATACTGAATCACTCTTATCGCTTGCACTTATCACTCGTCGCACGTCTGTACTCAACGGTGTCTAATACAAGACTGGGCCCCTCGTTAACCTTGATTGAGCTGAAATTGAGTCCTACACGGACACCAAACAATATAACATGATGAAATAATTACGTCAATAGCGTTATAACACTTATACGTTTATTCCAAAAAAGTCAGGCTTACCTACGAATCGTTTATTTATTCTTCCCTCCACCCGATTATACTCGTATTGCATCGAAGCACTTATTCGTTTCGTTAACAAACCAATCGTCATTACCTGGAACATATCATCATCTCTATGAGCTTGAATATCTCTGAAAATCACTTTATGAACTCTTCCCGTTATCATCCAAATACGCAGGTGCGTAATTAAAGATGTAAGCTTTACATCCATTCCATCCAGCAGACGCAGGTTGCAATAGTGATCTATAAGAGTTCTTTGAAAGTTTATATCCCTCATTCCGGCTGACTGATACCATTGAATTAGCCCTGAATCACAATTTTCCAATATCAATGATCTAATATGATAGAAGAATACGTTTAATATGAAATTTAAACTAGCGAAATAGATACTCTCCACAAGTATTGTTTCAATAGTTCCATCTACTTCAACACGCATAGTGATAGATCTATCTGTTGTATCCAGTAATAAAATATCATGACTCCCCGAACAATGCAAAATCTTACCAACCGTTATATCGTTTCCATGTCTCTCATGGACCCAATAGAATCTATTTTCTTCGACACTCACAGAGCGTATTCCTCTGTTTTCCCAATAAGAGAAAGGCGAGGGCGCACGCGTATATCCATCATTGTTTCTAACCCCAAGCAGTCTTCTTAAACAGGAGTCACATGTACCGAGAACAATCCAGCTCTCAGCTGCAACTATCATATCATTGAAAGCCACGTCCTCCTCCTCAACGGTGAGTTGGACGAATAGCTCCAATGTTAATCTCAAGTTTAAACCCCGTAAACCTCTCGCGAAACGTTGTTCCAGGCATGCTAGGAACCGATCTCCAACACATTTTATATCTCTAGCGACATTTCCGAGGGCTAAACCTCTTCGTCTAGCTCTCAATCTTACATCGTCAACGTTAATCATACGCTCTATGTTTGCTATTGTGATATCATAAGGATGACCAATCCATCTATCATAGACGCCTCTATTTTGATTATTCTTACAAATAATCCCACTGACACTTTTTGCATATAGAAATAAAGTAATTGGCTCATCATAGCTTCCATACACGCTGCGAATTATGTACACAGCGTTCTGCCTAAAGTTACCTAATCTATAACTAGTCGCATTTACATCATCATCAAATACTTTAAGACTTCCGACTCTATTTCCATTATTCGAGCGCTGCCTGACAACTATCTCTTCATTAGCTTGCATGCGGAATAATCCGCGTACGAGTACCTCCCCACCATTCATTTCCTCGTGTAAGTCTATGTAATCTACATCATTGTTCGTAGGTTTGTGAAGGTTGTATAATATGCGTAGCACATTAAAATCGCCATTTGGTCTAGTGTTTCCAACCATAGTATTCAAATCGTTTTCCACTGGACCAGCTACATTTGCCTGGGCGTTTTCATTATTAACAGCATCAATCACGGTCACAGCAGGGTTTGCGTTTCTGCCTCTAGAAACGCGCCGAGCGATACCGGGAGTAGCACCTCGAGGTAGGCTAAACATTTTAACGTGTATGAGAAATTAAACTCACATGAAATCTATTTAGCAGGAAAGTATGTGATCTTATGGTGGATTTTGGAAATATAAATTAATTTGAATAATGAAAAAACGAATGATCTTGAAATAATGTATGTGCATCATTTGAATCTCAAAAAAAGAGATAGGATATCAAAGATTACCACTATATGAAAAAACACAAAAGAACAATAGAATTGCATTACAATCGAAAATTTATGACAAAACTTACATCAATTTGCATTTCACACTCTCAGAAAAACGGATCCTCGCTATCCTTAGAATCTTCACCACGTTCGTGATTCCCAGAAGTATCCATGTTCATCCCGTTGACGTTGGTCAAAATCGTTACAGCTTTTGTCGGAAGTTTAATAGTTAGCTTTGGCACTTTCCTTTCCTCTTCAGAGCTAGTACCCGTTTTTTGTCGCTTCTTCTTCCTCATCCCAGCCGTTTTCTTCATAAATTCCTGCCAACACCCCGGTGTAGGTGGAATTATATCACCATGTGAGTCTTTTTCTGCTTCTTCCTCCGAAGAAGTATTCAATTCTAACCCCTTTTCCTCGTTCCGTTCATCTTTCTCTTCTTCTTCTGTTTTGTTCAATACTTTGGACTCATTTATCTGATCTTCCGGTATTTCTAACTGCGACTCTATATTTTCCGGCTGCCTTCCTTCATTATCATCAACAACTGGAGCGCTTGGTCTTCTGATTTCGTGTATTCGAGTCAGAGGCCTTTTTGGATACTCTCTTTTTTTATGCCCTGGTTCTTCACAAACTAAACAGGTGCGAACCTGATTGGGATACGTAACCAATGAGGTACACCCTTCGATCGCCACATACGACGGGATTGGTTTTTTCATGGCTATCCACATTGATCGTATTCCAGTTTCCACATTGAAAAGCCCATCACCAACATATTTTTCATTTCGAATACTTTTCACAATTCCATACTTTGACATCTTCGCCTTGATTGTCTGGTTGTCCATTTCCAGTGGAAAATCGTAAATCTTCACCATTATATCATCAGCATCTTCTGTTATGAAGACATCAAATTCATCTCCTTCCTCTCCTACGTATTTGACTATCCCATCACTAAACTCCTGCAGGATTGCCTGCATCTTCAGGTTTGATACCAACTTGAGGAACACCTTATGCTTAACATGATCAGATTATATTCCTACTATTTGATCTACGTTACACTTCAGAACGTTTTTAATCCACATATGAAGATTTGTGTTCGATGGTTTTTTCCGAACGTTCTTAAAATTTAAAGTTAGCGTAGTAACTCGCTTAATCACCATACTGAATCACTCTTATCGCTTGCACTTATCACTCGTCGCACATCTGTACTCAACGGTGTCTAATACAAGACTGGGCCCCTCGTTAACCTTGATTAAGCTGAAATTAAGTCCTACACGGACACCAAACAATATAACATAATGAAATATTTACGTCAATAGCGTTATAACACTTATACGTTCATTAAAAAAAAATCAGGATTACCTACGAATCGTTTATTTATTCTTCCATCCACCTGATTATACTTATATTGCATCGAAGTACTTATTCGTTTCGTTAACAAACTAATCGTCATGACCTGGAACATATCATCATCTCTATGAGCTTGAATATCTCTGAAAATCACTTTATGAACTCTTCCCGTTATCATCCAAATACGCAGGTGCGTAATTAAAGATGTAAGCTTTACATTCATTCCATCCAGCAGACGCAGGTTACAATAGTGATCTATAAGAGTTCTTTGAAAGTTTCTATCCCTCATTCCGGCTGACTGATACCATAGAATTAGCCCTAAATCACAATTTTCCAATATCAATGATCTAATATGATGGAAGAAACCGTTCAATATGAAATTTAAACTAGCGAAATAGATACTCTCCACAAGTATCGACTCAATAGTTCCATCTACTTCAACACGCATAGTGATATATCTATCTGTTGTATCCAGTAATAAAAAATCATGACTCCCCAAACAATGCAAAATCTTACCAACCGTTATATCGTTTCCATGTCTTTCATGGACCCGATAGAATCTATTTTCTTCGACACTCACAGAGCGTATTCCTCTGTTTTCCCAATAAGAGAAAGGCGAGGGCGCACGCGTATATCCATCATTGTTTATAACCCTAAGCAGTCTTCTCGAACAGGAGTCACATGTACCGAGAACAATCCAGCTCTCAGCTGCAACTATCATATCATTGAAAGCCACGTCCTCCTCCTCAACGGTGAGTTGGACGAATAGCTCCAATGTTAATCTCAAGTTTAAACCCTGTAAACCTCTCGCGAAACGTTGTTCCAGGCATGCTAGGAACCGATCTCCAACACATTTTATATCTCTAGCGACATTTCCGAGGGCTAAACCTCTTCGTCTAGCTCTCAATCTTACATCGTCAACGTTAATCATACGCTCTATGTTTGCTATTGTGATATCATAAGGATGACCAATCCATCTATCATAGACGCCTCTATTTTGATTAATCTCACAAATAATCCCACTGACACTTTTTGCATATAGAAATAAAGTAATTGGCTCATCATAGCTTCCATACACGCTGCGAATTATGTACACAGCGTTCTGCCTAAAGTTACCTAATCTATAACTAGTCGCATTTACATCATCATCAAATACTTCATTGCCATTATTCGAGCGCTGCCTGACAACTATCTCTTCATTAGCTTGCATGCGGAATAATCCGCGTACGAGTACCTCCCCACCATTCATTTCCTCGTGTACGTCTATGTAATCTACATCATTGTTCGTAGGTTTGTGAAGGTTGTATAATATGCGTAGCACATTAAAATCGCCATTTGGTCTAGTGTTTCCAACCATAGTATTAAAATCGTTTTCCACTGGACCAGCTACATTTGCCTGGGCGTTTTCATTATTAACAGCATTAATCACGGTCACAGCAGGGTTTGCGTTTCTGCCTCTAGAAACGCGCCGAGCGATACCGGGAGTAGCACCTCGAGGTAGGCTATACATTTTAACGTGTATGAGAAATTAAACTCACATAAAATCTTTTTAGCAGGAAAGTATGTGATCTTATGGTGGATTTTGGATATATAAATTAATTTGAATAATGAAAAAACGAATGATCTTGAAATAATGTATGTGCATCATTTGAATCTCAAAATAAAAAGATAGGATATCAAAGATTACCACTATATGAAAAAACACAAAGGAACAATAGAATTGCATTACAATCGAAAATTTATCACAAAACTTACATCAATTTGCATTTCACACTCTCAGAAAAACGGATCCTCGCTATCCTTAGAATCTTCACCACGTTCGTGATTCCCAGAAGTATCCTTGTTCATCCCGTTGACGTTGGTCAAAATCGTTACAGCTTTTGTCGGAAGTTTAATAGTTAGCTTTGGCACTTTCCTTTCCTCTTCAGAGCTAGTACCCGTTTTTTGTCGCTTCTCCTTCCTCATCCCAGCCGTTTTCTTCATAAATTCCTGCCAACACCCCGGTGTAGGTGGAATTATATCACCATGTGAGTCACTTTCTGCTTCTTCCTCCGAAGAAGTATTCAATTCTAACTCCTTTTCCTCGTTATGTTCATCTTTCTCTTCTTCTTCTGTTTGGTTCAATACTTTGGACTCATTTATCTGATCTTCCGGTATTTCTAACTGCGACTCTATATTTTCCGGCAGCCTTCCTTCATTATCATCAACAACTGGAGCGCTTGGTCTTCTGATTTCGTGTATTCGATTCAGATGCCTTTTTGGACACTCTCTTTTTTCATGCCCTGGTTCTTCACAAACTAAACAGGTGCGAACCTGATTGGGATACGTAACCAATGAGGTACACCCTTCGATCGCCACATACGACGGGATTGGTTTTTTCATGGCTATCCACATTGATCGTATTCCAGTTTCCACATTAAAATGCCCATCACCAACACATTTTTCATTTCGAATACTTTTCACAATTTCATACTTTGACATCATCTCCTTGATTGTCTGGTTGTCCATTTCCAGTGGGAAATCGTAAATCTTCACCATTATATCATCAGCATCTACTGTTATGAAGACATCAAATTCATCTCCTTCCTCTCCTACGTATTTGACTATCCCATCACTAAACTCCTGCAGGATTGCCTGCATCTTCAGGTTTGATACCAACTTGAGGATTACCTTATGCTTAACATGATCAAATTGTATTCCTACTATTTGATCTACGTCACACTTCAGAACGTTTTCAATCCACATATGAAGATTTGTGTTCGATGGTTTTTTCCGAACGTTCTTAAAATTTGAAGTAAGCGTATTTACTCGCTTAATCACCATACTGAATCACTCTTATCGCTTGCACTTATCATTCGTCGCACGTCTGTACTCAACGGTGTCTAATACAAGACTGGGCCCCTCGTTAACCTTGATTAAGCTGAAATTAAGTCCTACACGGACACCAAACAATATAACATAATGAAATAATTACGTCAATAGCGTTATAACACTTATACGTTCATTAAAAAAAAATCAGGATTACCTACGAATCGTTTATTTATTCTTCCATCCACCTGATTATACTTATATTGCATCGAAGCACTTATTCGTTTCGTTAACAAACCAATCGTCATGACCTGGAACATATCATCATCTCTATGAGCTTGAATATCTCTGAAAATCACTTTATGAACTCTTCCCGTTATCATCCAAATACGCAGGTGCGTAATTAAAGATGTAAGCTTTACATTCATTCCATCCAGCAGACGCAGGTTGCAATAGTGATCTATAAGAGTTCTTTGAAAGTTTATATCCCTCATTCCGGCTGACTGATACCATTGAATTAGCCCTAAATCACAATTTTCCAATATCAATGATCTAATATGATAGAAGAAACCGTTTAATATGAAATTTAAACTAGCGAAATAGATACTCTCCACAAGTTTTGTTTCAATAGTTCCATCTACTTCAACACGCATAGTGATATATCTATCTGTTGTATCCAGTAATAAAATATCATGACTCCCCGAACAATGCAAAATCTTACCAACCGTTATATCGTTTCCATGTCTTTCATGGACCCAATAAAATCTATTTTCTTCGACACTCACAGAGCGTATTCCTCTGTTTTCCCAATAAGAGAAAGGCGAGGGCGCACGCGTATATCCATCATTGTTTCTAACCCTAAGCAGTCTTCTTAAACAGAAGTCACATGTACCGAGAACAATCCAGCTCTCAGCTGCAACTATCATATCATTGAAAGCCACGTCCTCCTCCTCAATGGTGAGTTGGACGAATAGCTCCAATGTTAATCTCAAGTTTAAACCCCGTAAACCTCTCGCGAAACGTTGTTCCAGGCATGCTAGGAACCAATCTCCAACACATTTTATATCTCAAGCGACATTTCCGAGGGCTAAACCTCTTCGTCTAGCTCTCAATCTTACATCATCTACGTTAATCATACGCTCTGTTTGCTATTGTGATATCATAAGGATGACCAATCTATCTATCATAGACGCCTCTATTTTGATTAATCTCACAAATAATCCCACTGACACTTTTTGCATATAGAAATAAAGTAATTGGCTCATCATAGCTTCCATACACGCTGCGAATTATGAACACAGCGTTCTGCCTAAAGTTACCTAATCTATAACTAGTCGCATTTACATCATCATCAAATACTTTAAGACTTCCGACTCTATTTCCATTATTCGAGCGCTGACTGACAACTATCTCTTCATTAGCTTGCATGCGGAATAATCCGTGTACGAGTACCTCCCCACCATTCATTTCCTCGTGTACGTCTATGTAATCTACATCATTGTTCGTAGGTTTGTGAAGGTCGTATAATATGCGTAGCACATTGAAATCGCCATTTGGCCTAGTGTTTCCAACCATAGTATTCAAATCGTTTTCCACTGGACCAGCTACATTTGCCTGGGCGTTTTCATTATTAACAGCATTATTCACGGTCACAGCAGGGTTTGCGTTTCTGCCTCTAGAAACGCGCCGAGCGATACCGGGAGTAGCACCTCGAGGTAGGCTATACATTTTAACGTTTTAACGTGTATGAGAAATTCAACTCACATGAAATCTATTCAGCAGGAAAGTATGTGATCTCATGGTGGATTTTTTGGAAATATAAATTAATTTGAATAATGAAAAAACGAATGATCTTGAAATAATGTATGTGCATCATTTGAATCTCAAAATAAAAAGATAGGACATCAAAGATTACCACTATATGAAAAAACACAAAAGAACAATAGAATTGCATTACAATCGAAAATTTATCACAAAACTTACATCAATTTGCATTTCACACTCTCAGAAAAACGGATCCTCGCTATCCTTAGAATTTCACCACGTTCGTGATTCCCAGAAGTATCCATGTTCATCCCGTCGACGTTGGTCAAAATCGTTACAGCTTTTGTCGGAAGTTTAATATTTAGCTTTGGCACTTTCCTTTCCTCTTCAGAGCTAGTTCCCATTTTTTGTCGCTTCTTCTTCCTCATCACAGCCGTTTTCTTCATAAATTCCTGCCAACACCCCGGTGTAGGTGGAATTATATCACCATGTGAGTCACTTTCTGCTTCTTCCTTCGAAGAAGTATTCAATTCTATCTCCTTTTCCTCGTTCCGTTCATCTTTCCCTTCTTCTTCTGTTTGGTTCAATACTTTGGACTCATTTATCGAATCTTCCACTATTTCTAACTGCGACTCTATATTTTCCGGCTGCCTTCCTTCATTATCAGTAACAACTGGAGCACTTGGTCTTCTGATTTCGTGTATTCGATTCAGAGGCCTTTTTGGACACTCCCTTTTTTCATGCCCTGGTTCTTCACAAACTAAACAGGTGCGAACCTGATTGGGATACGTAACCAATGAGGTACACCCTTCGATCGCCACATACGACGGGATTGGTTTTTTCATGGCTATCCACATTGATCGTATTCCAGTTTCCACATTGAAAAGCCCATCACCAACATATTTTTCATTTCGAATACTTTCCACAATTCCATACTTTGACATCTTCTCCTTGATTGTCTGGTTGTCCATTTCCAGTGGAAAATCGTAAATCTCCACCATTATATCATCAGCATCTTCTGTTATGAAGACATCAAATTCATCTCCTTCCTCTCCTACGTATTTGACTATCCCATCACTAAACTCCTGCAGGATTGCCTGCATCTTCAGGTTTGATACCAACTTGAGGAACACCTTATGCTTAACATGATCGAATTGTCTTCCTACTATTTGATCTACGTTACACTTCAGAACGTTTTTTTTTCGAACGTTCTTAAAATTCAAAGTTAGCGTATTTACTCGCTTAATCACCATACTGAATCACTCTTTTCGCTTGCACTTATCACTCGTCGCACATCTGTACTCAACGGTGTCTAATACAAGACTGGGCCCCTCGTTAACCTTGATTAAGCTGAAATTAAGTCCTACACGGACACCAAACAATATAACATAATGAAATATTTACGTCAATAGCGTTATAACACTTATTCGTTCATTAAAAAAAATCAGGATTACCTACGAATCGTTTATTTATTCTTCCATCCACCTGATTATACTTATATTGCATCGAAGCACTTATTCGTTTCGATAACAAACCAATCGTCATGACCTGGAACATATCATCATCTCTATGAGCTTGAATATCTCTGAAAATCACTTTATGAACTCTTCCCGTTATCATCCAAATACGCAGGTGCGTAATTAAAGATGTAAGCTTTACATTCATTCCATCCAGCAGACGCAGGTTACAATAGTGATCTATAAGAGTTCTTTGGAAGTTTCTATCCCTCATTCCGGCTGACTGATACCATTGAATTAGCCCTAAATCACAATTTTCCAATATCAATGATCTAATATGATGGAAGAAACCGTTTAATATGAAATTTAAACTAGCGAAATAGATACTCTCCACAAGTATTGACTCAATAGTTCGATCTACTTCAACACGCATAGTGATATATCTATCTGTTGTATCCAGTAATAAAAAATCATGACTCCCCAAACAATGCAAAATCTTACCAACCGTTATATCGTTTCCATGTCTTTCATGGACCCGATAGAATCTATTTTCTTCGACACTCACAGAGCGTATTCCTCCGTTTTCCCAATAAGAGAAAGGCGAGGGCGCACGCGTATATCCATCATTGTTTATAACCCTAAGCAGTCTTCTCGAACAGGAGTCACATGTACCGAGAACAATCCAGCTCTCAGCTGCAACTATCATATCATTGAAAGCCACGTCCTCCTCCTCAACGGTTAGTTGGACGAATAGCTCCAATGTTAATCTCAAGTTTAAACGCCGTAAACCTCTCGCGAAACGTTGTTCCAAGCATGCTAGGAACCAATCTCCAACACATTTTATATCTCTAGCGACATTTCCGAGGGCTAAACCTCTTCGTCTAGCTCTCAATCTTACATCGTCTACGTTAATCATACGCTCTATGTTTGCTATTGTGATATCATAAGGATGACCAATCCATCTATCATAGACGCCTCTATTTTGATTAATCTTACAAATAATCCCACTGACACTTTTTGTATATAGGAATAAAGTAATTGGCTCATCATAGCTTCCATACACGCTGCGAATTATGTACACAGCGTTCTGCCTAAAGTTACCTAATCTATAACTAGTCGCATTCACATCATCATCAAATACTTTAAGACTTCCGACTCTATTTCCATTATTCGAGCGCTGCCTGACAACTATCTCTTCATTAGCTTGCATGCGGAATAATCCGCGTACGAGTACCTCCCCACCATTCATTTCCTCGTGTACGTCTATGTAATCTACATCATTGTTCGTAGGTTTGTGGAGATCGTATAATATGCGTAGCACATTAAAATCGCCATTTGGCCTAGTGTTTCCAACCATAGTATTCAAATCGTTTTCCACTGGACCAGCTACATTTGCCTGGGCGTTTTCATTATTAACAGCATTAATCACGGTCACAGCAGGGTTTGCGTTTCTGCCTCTAGAAACGCGCCGAGCGATACCGGGAGTAGCACCTCGAGGTAGGCTATACATTTTAACGTGTATGAGAAATTAAACTGACATGAAATCTATCTACCAGGAAAGTATGTGATCTTATGGTGGATTTTGGAAATATAAATCAATTTGAATAATGAAAAAACGAATGATCTTGAAATAATGTATGTGCATCATTTGAATCTCAAAATAAAAAGATAGGATATCAAAGATTACCACTATATGAAAAAACACAAAAGAACAATAGAATTGCATTACAATCGAAAATTTATCACAAAACTTACATCAATTTGCATTTCACACTCTCAGAAAAACAGATCCTCGCTATCCTTAGAATCTTCACCACGTTCGTGATTCCCAGAAGTATCCATGTTCATCCCGTTGACGTTGGTCAAAATCGTTACAGCTTTTGTCGGAAGTTTAATAGTTAGCTTTGGCACTTTCCTTTCCTCTTCAGAGCTAGTACCCATTTTTTGTCGCTTCTTTTTCCTCATCCCAGCCGTTTTCTTCATAAATTCCTGCCAACACCCTGGTGTAGGTGGAATTATATCACCATGTGAGTCACTTTCTGCTTCTTCCTCCGAAGAAGTATTCATTTCTAACTCCTTTCCCTCGTTCCGTTCATCTTTCCCTTCTTCTTCTGTTTGGTTCAATACTTTGGACTCATTTATCTGATCTTCCGGTATTTCTAACTGCGACTCTATATTTTCCGGCTGCCTTTCTTCATTATCATTAACAACTGGAGCACTTGGTCTTCTGATTTCGTGTATTCGATTCAGAGGCCTTTTTGGACACTCTCTTTTTTCATGCCCTGGTTCTTCACAAACTAAACAGGTGCGAACCTGATTGGGATACGTAACCAATGAGGTACACCCTTCGATCGCCACATACGACGGGATTGGCTTTTTCATGGCTATCCACATTGATCGTATTCCAGTTTCCACATTGAAAAGCCCATCACCAACATATTTTTCATTTCGAATACTTTTCACAATTCCATACTTTGCCATCTTCTCCTTGATTGTCTGGTTGTCCATTTCCAGTGGAAAATCGTAAATCTTCACCATTATATCATCAGCATCTTCTGTTATGAAGACATCAAATTCATCTCCTTCCTCTCCTACGTATTTGACTATCCCATCACTAAACTCCTGCAGGATTGCATGCATCTTCAGGTTTGATACCAACTTGAGGAACTGTTATGCCTTTTAATCTCAGGGGGTGAGTATTAAAAAAAATGGAATAGAATAGAATAGTTTGGTTGATGAATTACCTAAGATCTACTAGGTGTTTTAAATCTTAATTGTATTGACAACAGAAAAAGTGTTTTTAGTGCCCAGTTTGATACCGTAGAAACTAGACACTGGTAGTTCAGCGGGACAAATGGGTGGGTACGTTAGGCACAGTAAAATTCTTAGTTTGATAGGGATGAATTTGCTTTTAATCACAAGTTATTCTGAAATGACAAATAATGTGCTTCAAATGTTACTAGTTGGCTCAATAAGACTCCAAAGTAACTGTGTATCAATATCAATGTTACCTAAGCAGAGTACAATCATTGCAACAACAAGAAATATTAAATTGACTGACTGAAATCAACTCTTCAGATCAGTGTGAAATAATTCAATAACTGCTCAAAATCAACTCTCTGAGACAGTATGATAATATATAACTTATTAAAGAACAAAATAACTCAGTAAATCAGTATCAATGAGACAAAAGAAATAATAAGGCCTATTTTACCGCAGTGCACTTTTGGTTTACAGGGGTATATTTTGTAACTATACTGAGTGTCTATTAAATCAATGACATGTTGCAATTATATTATGTTGAATGAAATTTTAAACTGCTGAATTATGGTTGGTAATAGTTTATCCCAAGTAAAATACTATCCCTGATGGTGCATGGAACGAACTCACCAAATTATGAGCAGGTCCTGATGTACAAGGGGATCAGGTGAAGTCAGCAGCGTCAGGTGAAGTCAGCAGAGTCAGGTGGTGTCTCCTGTATGTCGCCCTTCAGCCACAAATAATAAGGCTCCCAAAGCAGGCGAAAACAGAGCTACCGCACTAGCGCAGATTCCAGTACAGCAGTCCCAGGGAGCTGAAGGGGGCCAAATCTCGAATGCGACGATCGGGAGAGAAGGCTTTAGCCCGATAAAAGGAACCCTATATGGAATGACGACAATCGTGCGTTATTTTGCCAACACAAGGAATAAAAGAAAATAGCAGCTGATAATTTGAAGATCATATAATACCTTGGATGTTGTGTGAGTTCCAGGAGTGGTGGTGCAGGTCGGCTCGGCCACGTGGATTTCAGCCACGAAGAATTCCCCTATAGAGGCAACAGGAATCCCATCCCAGCGATGATAATGGATATCCCAATTTTGAGATCTTTTCCTAATTAATCCCAACACTAAGTAATGGAAAATCGAATGTTAGACAAATTCGAAATTATTCAAGAAACAGATCTCACGCCTTACTTTTGTGACCAGGCTGGTAGACTGCTGCAGACAAAATGGTGCCTATCAGGATCGAAGGGGCTGTCCTTGCCACATCTCACCGGAAGATCACCCTTTTTTGTGTATCTTCCCCTATACTCCCACACACATCAATCACACGGACGATATAAAATTATAGGTGGGAGATATCCGCGCGAACACCCTGTACATGGTATTTCTACCTCACCAGTGTAGTGAAAACTATGTCGATAATATCAAGAGAGGTATCTAGACCATCAGAAAAGAAGGAATATCATTAAATCATCATCTATTTCAAGTCAGAATATATTATTGCCAGTTTTATTGTTTGGATTTGAAACTTCAAATATTCAAACGCAGTCATGCGCAACTGAGGACCATTGTAGACCTGAATAGTGGGGCGAAATACATCATCATCTTCTTTCCGTGCGATGACCCTTCATCACAATGTAACATAACCTATAACGCCCATACTTACAAGGAATTAGTACCAAATCAACGAACAGGTACATAATGGCGAAGATACAGAGTGCCAAATCATCATAACGAGATATGGTGCTGATTGTGAGCCGTTAGAGCCCGTATTCGTGATGATAGCAAGGGAACTATGGGTCAATGTTCCATGATGACAATGTTGAAAATTCGAGAAGATGCATGCAGAGGTTCGCAGATAGTGGTCATCCGTTATTAGTGTCATTACCGTCAATAGAGACTAAACGTCATCAAGCTGACAGTGACATTTTCAATAATTACAATAATTACATAACAATGATATTTATTTGGAAATATGACGGCAACAATAATTACAAGAATGATATACTCGAAATTCAAGATGAAATTTGGCGAAATACCTGTGGACTGAATCAGTCATGTGCGACAATTCCAGGAACCAACTACCTACCTACCATAATTTGTAAACAAAACAGTCTGACCAAGATGTATGCAATAACGATAACTAGTAGGCTAAAAATCACAATATTATTCCTTATTTACAGCAGAAATAGAGTTAGAATCAATAACAACGAACAGAGAAATACCAATCGATAGCCAGTAGTAAACATCACAGATGAATTCAATTATGTACCAATGAAAAAGAGAGTGAAAAGTAGTATTGGACTATGGTTATTGAAACACTATTCAAATTCTAACAATTTATATTCACGATGTGTGCTCTACAAAAGATAAACGATTAATAATCGATATTCTCCAACGACTGTCCTCTTATTCATCATGTAACGTAACCATCTGAGTCATGTCTTACTAATAGAATCAGAAGGTATCGATGTATAGGGTGGTGCGGTGTAATATCCAGTTTCTAACAGTAGGTAAACAATAATGCATAGCTCTGTTTTCTGCAGTATTTTCGTGACGTCATGAACGAAGTGTAACAGAACACATTATGCTTAACATGATCAAATTGTATTCCTACTATTTGATCTACGTTACACTTCAGAACGTTTTCAATCCACATATGAAGATTTGTGTTCGATGGTTTTTTCCGAACGTTCTTAAAATTTAAAGTTAGCGTATTTACTCGCTTAATCACCATACTGAATCACTCTTATCGCTTGCACTTATCACTCGTCGCACGTCTGTACTCAACGGTGTCTAATACAAGACTGGGTCCCTCGTTAACCTTGATTAAGCTGAAATTAAGTCCTACACGGACACCAAACAATATAACATAATGAAATAATTACGTCAATAGCGTTATAACACTTATACGTTCATTCCAAAAAAGTCAGGATTACCTACGAATCGTTCATTTATTCTTCCATCCACCCGATTATACTCATATTGCATCGAAGCACTTATTCGTTTCGTTAACAAACCAATCGTCATGACCTGGAACATATCATCATCTCTATGAGCTTGAATATCTCTGAAAATCACTTTATGAACTCTTCCCGTTATCATCCAGATACGCAGGTGCGTAATTAAAGATGTAAGCTTTACATTCATTCCATCCAGCATACGCAGGTTACAATAGTGATCTATAAGAGTTCTTTGAAAGTTTCTATCCCTCATTCCGGCTGACTGATACCATTGAATTAGCCCTAAATCACAATTTTCCAATATCAATGATCTAATATGATGGAAGAAACCGTTTAATATGAAATTTAAACTAGCGAAATAGATACTCTCCACGAGTATTGACTCAATAGTTCCATCTACTTCAACACGCATAGTGATATATCTATCTGTTGTATCCAGTTATAAGAAATCATGACTCCCCAAACAATGCAAAATCTTACCAACCGTTATATCGTTTCCATGTCTTTCATGGACCCAATAGAATCTATTTTCTTCGACACTCACAGAGCGTATTCCTCTGTTTTCCCAATAAGAGAAAGGCGAGGGCGCACGCGTATATCCATCATTGTTTCTAACCCCAAGCAGTCTTCTTAAACAGGAGTCACATGTACCGAGAACAATCCAGCTCTCAGCTGCAACTATCATATCATTGAAAGCCACGTCCTCCTCCTCAACGGTGAGTTGGACGAATAGCTCCAATGTTAATCTCAAGTTCAAACCCCGTAAACCTCTCGCGAAACGTTGTTCCAGGCATGCTAGGAACCGATCTCCAACACATTTTATATCTCTAGCGACATTTCCGAGGGCTAAACCTCTTCGTCTAGCTCTCAATCTTACATCGTCAACGTTAATCATACGCTCTATGTTTGCTATTGTGATATCATAAGGATGACCAATCCATCTATCATAGACGCCTCTATTTTGATTAATCTTACAAATAATCCCACTGACACTTTTTGCATATAGAAATAAAGTAATTGGCTCATCATAGCTTCCATACACGCTGCGAATTATGTACACAGCGTTCTGCCTAAAGTTACCTAATCTATAACTAGTCGCATTTACATCATCATCAAATACTTTAAGACTTCCAACTCTATTTCCATTATTCGAGCGCTGCCTGAAAACTATCTCTTCATTAGCTTGCATGCGGAATAATCCGCGTACGAGTACCTCCCCACCATTCATTTCCTCGTGTACGTCTATGTAATCTACATCATTGTTCGTAGGTTTGTGAAGGTTGTATAATATGCGTAGCACATTAAAATCGCCATTTGGTCTAGTGTTTCCAACCATAGTATTCAAATCGTTTTCCACTGGACCAGCTACATTTGCCTGGGCGTTTTCATTATTAACAGCATTAATCACGGTCACAGCAGGGTTTGCGTTTCTGCCTCTAGAAACGCGCCGAGCGATACCGGGAGTAGCACCTCGAGGTAGGCTATACATTTTAACGTGTATGAGAAATTAAACTCACATGAAATCTATTTAGCAGGAAAGTATGTGATCTTATGGTGGATTTTGGAAATATAAATTAATTTGAATAATGAAAAAACGAATGATCTTGAAATAATGTATGTGCATCATTTGAATCTCAAAATAAAAAGATAGGATATCAAAGATTACCACTATATGAAAAAACACAAAAGAACAATAGAATTGCATTACAATCGAAAATTTATGACAAAACTTACATCAATTTGCATTTCACACTCTCAGAAAAACGGATCCTCGCTATCCTTAGAATCTTCACCACGTTCGTGATTCCCAGAAGTATCCATGTTCATCTCGTTGACGTTGGTCAAAATCGTTACAGCTTTTGTCGGAAGTTTGATAGTTAGCTTTGGCACTTTCCTTTCCTCTTCAGAGCTAGTACCCGTTTTTTGTCGCTTCTTCTTCCTCATCCCAGCCGTTTTCTTCATAAATTCCTGCCAACACCCCGGTGTAGGTGGAATTATATCACCATGTGAGTCTTTTTCTGCTTCTTCCTCCGAAGAAGTATTCAATTCTAACTCCTTTTCCTCGTTCCGTTCATCTTTCTCTTCTTCTTCTGTTTGGTTCAATACTTTGGACTCATTTATCTGATCTTCCGGTATTTCTAACTGCGACTCTATATTTTCCGGCTGCCTTCCTTCATTATCATCAACAACTGGAGCGCTTGCTCTTCTGATTTCGTGTATTCGAGTCAGAGGCCTTTTTGGACACTCTCTTGTTTCATGCCCTGGTTCTGCACAAACTAAACAGGTGCGAACCTGATTGGGATACGTAACCAATGAGGTACACCCTTCGATCGCCACATACGACGGGATTGTTTTTTTTATGGCTATCCACATTGATCGTATTCCAGTATCCACATGGAAAAGACCATCACCAACATATTTTTCATTTCGAATACTTTTCACAATTCCATACTTTGACATCATCTCCTTGATTGTCTGGTTGTCCATTTCCAGTGGAAAATCGTAAATCTTCACCATTATATCATCAGCATCTTCTGTTATGGAGACATCAAATTCATCTCCTTCCTCTCCTACGTATTTGACTATCCCATCACCAAACTCCTGCAGGATTGCCTGCATCTTCAGGTTTGATACCAACTTGAGGAACACCTTATGCTTAACATGATCAAATTGTATTCCTACTATTTGATCTACGTTACACTTCAGAACGTTTTCAATCCACATATGAAGATTTGTGTTCGATGGTTTTTTCCGAACGTTCTTAAAATTTGGAGTAAGCGTATTTACTCACTTAATCACCATACTGAATCACTCTTATCGCTTGCACTTATCACTCGTCGCACGTCTGTACTCAACGGAGTCTAATACAAGACTGGGCCCCTCGTTAACCTTGATTAAGCTGAAATTAAGTCCTACACGGACACCAAACAATATAACATAATGAAATAATTACGTCAATAGCGTTATAACACTTATACGTTCATTAAAAAAAAATCAGGATTACCTACGAATCGTTTATTTATTTTTCCATCCACCTGATTATACTTATATTGCATCGAAGCACTTATTCGTTTCGTTAACAAACCAATCGTCATGACCTGGAACATATCATCATCTCTATGAGCTTGAATATCTCTGAAAATCTTTTTATGAACTCTTTCCGTTATCATCCAAATACGCAGGTGCGTAATTAGAGATGTAAGCTTTACATTCATTCCATCCAGCAGACGCAGGTTGCAATAGTGATCTATAAGAGTTCTTTGAAAGTTTCTATCCCTCATTCCGGCTGACTGATACCATTGAATTAGCCCTAAATCACAATTTTCCAATATCAATGATCTAATATGATGGAAGAAACCGTTTAATATGAAATTTAAACTAGCGAAATAGATACTCTCCACAAGTATTGACTCAATAGTTCCATCTACTTCAACACGCATAGTGATATATCTATCTGTTGTATCCAGTAATAAAAAATCATGACTCCCCAAACAATGCAAAATCTTACCAACCGTTATATCGTTTCCATGTCTTTCATGGACCCGATAGAATCTATTTTCTTCGACACTCACAGAGCGTATTCCTCTGTTTTCCCAATAAGAGAAAGGCGAAGGCGCACGCGTATATCCATCAATGTTTATAACCCTAAGCAGTCTTCTTAAACAGGAGTCACATTTACCGAGAACAATCCAGCTCTCAGCTGCAACTATCATATCATTGAAAGCCACGTCCTCCTCCTCAACGGTGAGTTGGACGAATAGCTCCAATGTTAATCTCAAGTTTAAACCCCGTAAACCTCTCGCGAAACGTTGTTCCAGGCATGCTAGGAACCAATCTCCAACACATTTTATATCTCTAGCGACATTTCCGAGGGCTAAACCTCTTCGTCTAGCTCTCAATCTTACATCGTCTACGTTAATCATACGCTCTATGTTTGCTATTGTGATATCATAAGGATGACCAATCCATCTATCATAGACGCCTCTATTTTGATTAATCTTACAAATAATCCCACTGACACTTTTTGTATATAGAAATAAAGTAATTGGCTCATCATAGCTTCCATACACGCTGCGAATTATGTACACAGCGTTCTGCCTAAAGTTACCTAATCTATAACTAGTCGCATTTACATCATCATCAAATACTTTAAGACTTCCGACTCTATTTACATTATTCGAGCGCTGCCTGACAACTATCTCTTCATTAGCTTGCATGCGGAATAATCCGCGTACGAGTACCTCCCCACCATTCATTTTCTCGTGTACGTCTATGTAATCTACATCATTGTTCGTAGGTTTGTAAAGGTCGTATAATATGCTTAGCACATTAAAATCGCCATTTGGCCTAGTGTTTCCAACCATAGTATTCAAATCGTTTTCCACTGGACCAGCTACATTTGCCTGGGCGTTTTCATTATTAACAGCATCAATCACGGTCACAGCAGGGTTTGCGTTTCTGCCTCTAGAAACGCGCCGAACGATACCGGGAGTAGCACCTCGAGGTAGGCTAAACATTTTAACGTGTGTGAGAAATTAAACTCACATGAAATCTATTTAGCAGGAAAGTATGTGATCTTATGGTGGATTTTGGAAATATAAATTAATTTGAATAATGAAAAAACGAATGATCTTATAATAATGTATGTGCATCATTTGAATCTCACAATAAAAAGATAGGATATCAGAGATTACCACTATATGAAAGAACACAAAAGAACAATAGAATTGCATTACAATCGAAAATTTATCACAAAACTTACATCAATTTGCATTTCACACTCTCAGAAAAACGGATCCTCGCTATCCTTAGAATCTTCACCACGTTCGTGATTCCCAGAAGTATCCATGTTCATCCAGTCGACGTTGGTCAAAATCGTTACAGCTTTTGTCGGAAGTTTAATAGTTAGCTTTAGCACTTTCCTTTCCTCTTCAGAGCTAGTACCCGTTTTTTGCGCTTCTTCTTCCTCATCCCAGCCGTTTTCTTCATAAATTCCTGCCAACACCCCGGTGTAGGTGGAATTATATCACCATGTGAGTCACTTTCTGCTTCTTCCTCCGAAGAAGTATTCAATTCTAACTCCTCCTCCTACGAATCGGCTATTTATCCTTCCCTCCACCCGATTATACTCATATTGCATCGAAGCACTTATTCGTTTCGTTAACAAACCAATCGTCATGACCTGGAACATATCAACATCTCTATGAGCTCGAATATCTCTGAAAATCACTTTATGAACTCTTTCCGTTATCATATAAATACGCAGGTGCGTAAGTAAAGATGTAAGCTTTACATTCATTCCATCCAGCAGACGCAGGTTACAATAGTGATCTATAAGAGTTCTTTGAAAGTTTCTATCCCTCATTCCGGCTGACTGATACCATTGAATTAGCCCTAAATCACAATTTTCCAATATCAATGATCTAATATGATGAAAGAAACCGTTTAATATGAAATTTAAACTAGCGGAATAGATACTCTCCACAAGTATTGACTCAATAGTTCCATCTACTTCAACACGCATAGTGATATATCTATCTGTTGTATCCAGTAATAAAAAATCATGACTCCCCAAACAATGCAAAATCTTACCAACCGTTATATCGTTTCCATGTCTTTCATGGACCCAATAGAATCTATTTTCTTTGACACTCACAGAGCGTATTCCTCTGTTTTCCCAATAAGAGAAAGGCGAGGGCGCACGCGTATATCCATCATTGTTTCTAACCCTAAGCAGTCTTCTTAAACAGGAGTCACATGTACCGAGAACAATCCAGCTCTCAGCTGCAACTATCATATCATTGAAAGCCACGTCCTCCTCCTCAACGGTGAGTTGGACGAATAGCTCCAATGTTGATCTCAAGTTTAAACCCCGTAAACCTCTCGCGAAACGTTGTTCCAGGCATGCTAGGAACCGATCTCCAACACATTTTATATCTCTAGCGACATTTCCGAGGGCTAAACCTCTTCGTCTAGCTCTCAATCTTACATCGTCTACGTTAATCATACGCTCTATGTTTGCTATTGTGATATCATAAGGATGACCAATCCATCTATCATAGATGCCTCTATTTTGATTAATCTTACAAATAATCCCACTGACACTTCTTGCATATAGAGATAAAGTAATTGGCTCATCATAGCTTCCATACACGCTGCGAATTATGTACACAGCGTTCTGCCTAGAGTTACCTAATCTATAACTAGTCGCATTTACATCATCATCAAATACTTTAAGACTTCCGACTCTATTTCCATTATTCGAGCGCTGCCTGACAACTATCTCTTCAATAGCTTGCATGCGGAATAATCCGCGTACGAGTACCTCCCCACCAT